TCTAAATTTAGATGGCTCAGACAATTCTTCCTGTAAACTTTTCCATTCGGGCAGTTTAAAAATCGCTTTAGCTTCAAGTTGCCCCAATTTAAAGGTAACGGAAAGAATATACGAAAAAGATCCCGCATCCAGCCTTGAACAGACTTGGACAAGTGCTATTAGCAAGACCCAATCAAGGCCAGCATCGACACACGAAGCGGTTGTTGATCAATGCCATGCCTGAAGATCTTTATCGTCCCAGTGCTGAAGTTTATGCACCGCATTAAGAACTAATTTTAGGGTAAAATAAAAAAAAATTCCCAACTATTATTGATCGTAAGTGAGAATCGAACTCCGGTGGGCGGGTTCTTAACACTGAGCTAACTACAGTGTCACCGCTCTTGACACAGACATACACTCACACACATGTTATGAATGAACACGCGTTTCGAAAGTCAATTTGTTTGGACCTCAGAACTCATTATTACATTATATGTACTGCACATACTGGACGTAAAAATTAAGCATTGTTAAACTCGTAAATAAGAAGTAATATTGTACAATAGCACGTAAAACTATGACAAATGCTGTATGGTATATAAGTTATAAAATAAAGTAAAGTAACTTGAAAAGACAAATATCTGTTTATTTTCACTTTGAGTGCTGATGCTGATTTGCTTGTTAGAAGGGGCATAACTACGTCCTCACAAATGCACACACACACACACACGGGAGCACGCATACACAAAGACTTTATTGTATGTAGAAATTTATTTTGGCTACAAATTTAAACAAAATTGGGGGGGGGGGGTGGAAGTGAATTTTTTGGGGGGTCGACAATTTTTGGAAACCTGTTGGATCAACTTTTATTCCCACATGTTGGGGGGGGGGGGGGGTTCACTTTCAACTCTTGAACCGGCCCATGTCAAACTCCCATGACCGCTCTCTCTCTCTCTCGAATCCACTTGTGCTACCCTGGCGTTCTCTCCCCATACTCTTAGTTCTTTCGGTAAAGTCACGTAGGTAAAAAATGAAATAAAAATAAAAAACAATAAAATCACGACGTTTCGGAGGCAACACAAGCTTCCGTCTTCAGCTGAAGCTTGGGTTGCCTCCGAAACGTCGTGATTTTATTGTTTTTGTTTTTTATTTTTATTAATTTTGATTTCATTTTTTACCTACGTGACTTTACCGAAAGAACTAAGAGTGTGAATCCTTGCAGTCACGAAAGCTGCAAATCTAGAAGTTCTCTCCCCACTTTGTCGCACTCCTGTGTCCACTCATGCCACACTCTGACTCTCCTCCAAATCTCATTTACACCCTCTCTGTAAATCGAATCGCTATTTCGAACCCACCAACGTTGCAATATTTTTCACCTCGGTTCTTGACATCTGCTATCCTATCAGCTACCAGTTTCCTACTGATTAATTCTTTACCAATATAATTTCTACCCCTTCTCATACTGTTCAGCGTACCCGTACGGCCTTGTCAACCTTGAACATCCCCGTTGTTATGCTTAACATCACTATCCTTACCCTGGCTTTTATGCTCACCATGCGTCCCCAATACTTGTTCAACCCCTACCCACGGTCTCGCTGCATGTCATCCATCATTCACAGACACGGGCGTACACACAAAGATAAGGAGAAACAGACAAACAGACACGGGACAGAGAGACAGAGAAATTGCATTTTTCTATAGTCGGTTTGGGCAGGACACGCTGTGTAAGTCACTAACACCTACAGTATATCTTGGTATTACAGTACATCTAGGTGTTAGAGGACACGAGTGGAGAGACTCGTGTACTGTCACACCTGTAACTTTGTGTTTATCTTTCTGTCTCTATGTGTCCATCTCCTTGATCATACAGTGACTGAGATAGACACGTGTCCTTCAAGCAGCGCAGGATTGCATTCACATGCAGGAATTTACTACTTTGTTTCTGTGACATTGAAAGGAATAAAATAGTTTATTTTGAATCCAATGTTAAATAAAATGCCCATTTTAGAAAATTATTACCACGTAAAATTTGTAATGCAGAGGTCACTGTGTTGAACTCAAGTGAGTACAGGAAAGGAATGAGTCCCTTAAATAAATAAATAACACATAGCGACGCTTGTGACGTCACAGTCGCATTTCTAAACCACGTGTCACAACAGGAAATCTCTAACCCCCGCGTCACGGCCGGAAATGGTGACGTCACTACAGGGGCTGTGAGCACGTGATCACACTCGGACTTTGGCGACACCAGCGGCAAGATGCTGCTGAAGTTGTACTCCGTGTCTTTTGGGAAGATCTTCCCCCTCTTCGCGGGCAAGTAGGGAGGCGAAGTGGACTACCCCATACCAGTGGCGGCTCCTGCAAAATCTCTCAGGGGGGGCAAATGTTGGAATGATTGATAAGGATAAGGTCCACCCATGCAATGGATAAATTAACAGCTTAAGCATGTAAAGGCCACTTCACTACTTTAATATTAATGAAAAATAAAGTGACTCTTACAATACATCTCCTTGTTTGTTTCTATACTCACTATTATTACACTGCTTACATCACATTACTCGCTTAATACACTGCTTACTTATACTGAAATTTTCCTCTTCTCTCTTTCAAAGTAGCAAAGTGATCAATTACTCTCTCATTGAAAGCAGGCATGTTCCTGACTAGTTCCCTCTCCATGGAAAGCATAGCCATTGCATTCAGACGTTCCTGTCCCATTACATTTCTCAGGAATGTCTTGATTCTCTTTAAGGTTGAGAAACACCTCTCAGCTTCAGCAGTTGTCATGGGAGTGGTTATGAGGATGTTCAACAGAGCAACAGTCTCTGAAAAAGTATCCTGGAGGTTGTACTTCAGCAAAACCTGGTACAGCGCTAGTGCACCACAGGAGCCCTTGAATTCTGGACTCTCATAAATGAGAGACAGTTCAGTCTTCAGCTTCGCCTTATTTAACATAGGGTATGCCCTGACAGTGATGTTCAGAGCCTCAACAGGGAATGTATGGCCATGCTGTTTAAACATCTCTCCTTGTAGCAGCGTGGCACTTACAAGGTGGTCGGTAAAGGAGAACCTTTCTTTGGTGTGGACCAAGATTGTGTCGCAGACCTGACAAAATAAATACATTTATTTTAGTTATAAAATAAATTATTTATTATAATATAAATATGGAGATACAAGGTTTCCATCCCGACAGCAACAATGTATCAGGCAGAATCCATATTTTATATCTCCATATTTTTTCAAAAATTAATGCTATTGGTCACCCTTTACATCTGTCAATGTGTTTTACAAATATTTAACCAATGAAAAGCATTAAAAGAGCTTGGAAATTATTTTGGGGAAAAAACAGGTTTTCTTTCGTTTCCTGAAAAGTAACAGTTTTGGACATACAAGGCTTCCGTCCGACAGCGATGATTTGTGTGTGTGTTATTACGTTAATTAACATTTTACGAAAATTAAAGCTCAAATGGAGTTTGACAAGGGTTTTTAATCAGTAAATGTACAGTATTTTCAATCCACTCAGTTTATTTTATTAAAGATTCCACTAGGTGGCGACAAATAATATTGTTGACTGAAACGTCCTTACGTATGATGACGTAAGCACGTTAGTGCGAGCCCTCCCGGAAGCCATAGAGAATGCATTGCAGCGCCTGAAGTTCGAAAAAAAACATCTTTGAATGTAAGTCTATGGGAACACTCTGGGCGATTCTCAGCCAGAGTGAAATCGCCCAAAAAGAGGCGGTACTCCACAGAACGTGACATGACGCTGATTGGACTATATCCAGAGGCACAGTGACGGCTAGCGCAACTCTGTGGTTGAATGAGGTTGTGAATGTGATTGAAAAAGTCCCTTTCACACTTTGGTGGTGCGTCACCCAATCGCCCTAATGAAGAAACCGCCCCTGCCCCATACCAATGCCACCATGCCCAATCCCCGATATGGTCGTAATGTCATGGACTCTGGCGTTGCTTGCGAGTGAGTTCATATTGATGGCTATTACAATAATAGGCGTCATGTCGTGCCATCGTCAGTGCTTCGGTATATTTCCCGTGCCTGTCGCTTTCCAAACTATTCGTTTTTATTCTCGTCTATTTTCGGCTACGTCAACGCACAAACAAAACTACGAGCTGCTACGTCAGAGACTAGAGGGGGCTGTGTTTTAAGCTGTGCGGTTTTGGTTTTCTATGTTGCGTTTGAAATAAACTAGGATAATTTTACCGATAGGTGATGACTGCTGGTCACACTACAGCCACAGGTACGAACCCCGCACCTCTGATTTAGCACGGGTTGGCTACCTCCAGGGCGAAAGACGTTCAACATACATATGTATTGTCATTCCAGTGCCCGCTGCATATAGCAACGTGAATCTTGTGTTGAACTGGCACTGGGGATTCATCATCAGCCATGATCAATGCATTGCCGGATGAAAACTTGCCCAGGTCACTTCTCACTCACGACCCTACAATGCCATAATCCCCCGAGCACTCGCGCACGGACTCATTTCACCGCTCCGTCTCCTCGGTGGGCATCTTTCCCAATCGCGTTCTACCGCTTGACTAGCACTCCGTTATTATCCTTGCCCTCCATCGACCCACCTTCATTACAATGGAGCTTCGAAGCGAGACGTCCACTGTGTGAGCGGCCGGAGTGTCCCGAGTTGCGGGAAGATCTGAACGTCAGAATATTTGGGCTCCTCGGCCATCGACTGGAAGCAATCCCGGCGCACCGATCAACGCAGATGTCAACCTCGTGAGATGGACAGCGGCGAGGACGACGATGGGACACGTTCGTTGTCGAGGTGACGAGGCTTGAGTGCCTGCAGACTCAAGCAGCGCCACTCGATTGGGTGAACCACCGCAGTCAGGTGCTCAGCAAGGGGCGAGCGTTCCCTTCACCAACCCGGCATGGTCAAGTATGGCCAAAACCCCCCGCTGCATAACCAATGGGTTAACCCCAAGGTTAACCCCGAGGTTAACCTGGTGTGATGTGAAACACGCTCATAAAGCAGGCCACCAAGTGAAGATTCATTCTGTGTTTTAATGCGGCGTGAAACAAACCGGAATTTAACTTTATTGTGCTGTTATTTTGTGAGACCCAAACGGCCGTTCTAATTATCTGCCCATGCCCTTATTGCGTATGCGTGCATTCAAATATCAACACATTCCTTTACCAGGGATGGGCAGTGCTCACAACTTCAATTTTCCCACTGCGAACCAGCAAATCTGGCTGTGACGGTTCCACGTGATGACGGAGACTTGTGTTGCCTCCGAAACGTCGTGATTTTTATTGTTTTATTTTTTATTAATTTCAATCCCAACCAATTGTTGTGTGTGTGTCTGTTTAAAGCTGGGCCCACACTCGAGCGACGAGTTGTGAATCTCCTCGCAAGCGAGATCATCGCCCGCAACCGCTTTGTCCACATCTGAGCGGGTAGTTGCGCAACGAGGAAATAAAGCCACCCTGGTCAGGGATTGCAGCGATCAATACAAATTGCAAATGAAATACGTGGCCACAAATTGCCGAGCAGATAGATTACTTTAAAGTAGAGTCCCTCTACTGTGAGCAACCGGTTGCGCAACTGCTCCCAACCGCTTGCAATGACGTCTACAAAAGAGTGATTCGGTTGCCTGCAACCACGTTGCACAACTTATGGCTTTAAGAATTCGAAACGCACGTATATTTGCATTAGTTTTTTTATGCGCGAAATGAAAATTCCAACTTCATTTCAATTATTTCTGTACATTTAATAAGCAGTGCTTTTACGATTCATTGTGTGTGCAGTCCGCAGTGGCCAGGTCATTACAATCATATCTCACTGCACTGGAGAAGACGGTTTTAATCATGGGTGGCTGGCACGGATTTCAAACCCAGAATCTCAGTGGCGTTGGCTGTTGCTCTGACATGGCCATTGAGTCCCCCCAGAGCCACTCAGCCACCTCGCATCACGATAAATAAAGACAAAGCGGGCACACTACATTTGAACAAATTGCGCACGCGTTAAGACATATGGCTTGAAAGCGCCGGATAATTACCACATCTCGGCTACGCATCCGGCAGCACATTTCTTTCTCTATACATATGCAGCGATCACTGAAGCAAATAATCACAGCTGCTCTACATCTTTAAAGGAAGACCGCGCGACCCGCAAACACAATTGGGAGCCATTTGACTCGATGAGAACATTAATTTCGATCAACGGCAATGGGGCATTATTTTCCCGATCTACTGCTCAAATCCCGGCTCCCCGGGTTTTTTGTTGTTGTTGTCACCATCGGCGAGTTTCAAATTCCTGCTCCCGTGTGCCAAGCCCCCCTCAATTGGCCAACGTGTTGATCGATGATTCCACTTGGCTCTATCCTTTTCACTTTTGCTTTGCATCTCACTTTTAGAGTTTACAGTTCCGCAAACATTGGTCACGAACATTTTACATCGATCTTTAAGCAACACGCTTTCATAACTGATTACAATGGTCCATATTCATATATGGGCCAATATTCTTGTCGCTAACCCTCCACCAAACCGACAATATTGCCACGATTACAAAGATATTATTGTTCAGACCTGGCCAATGTATCGTCTCTCTCCGGTGGCTTAAAATTTCTCACGACCGAATGCAACATCGGCGTACGATGGCGTTTCGCTCCTCGATTTCTGAGTTCACGGTTTGATGACGCTCCCAATCAGTAGGAGCGAAAAGCCACCTATGAAATAATATCGTTGTCAATGTGAAAATCTTTGTCCGGTGGTGGAGCATTAATGACAAGAATATCGGCAAAAATTATCACGTGGCCGAAAATCCAAGAACAAACGTGGATCGCTTCACAACTGAGGTTGAAAGCGTTGTGCATGTATGTTGAACTTCTTTCGCACCGTACGTAGCTAACCATGCTATGTGGGTGGGGGAAGGACAACAATGCATTAGCTGTCTCCGTCTGTCTGTAGAGGGAGGTCAGGATAACGCTCGTAAAGATTACACCATATAATGTAATGTTAGCGTAAACTAGCTTTACTATTCGGGGAAACCCGACAAAATTGATCAAAAGGTTGCGCCGTGTGACGTCATCTCGTTGTGTGGCTCGGAAGGTAACAAAGGTAACTCTTTGCCAATTAAATACTTGCGAGGCCGAACGTGCACGTGAGAAGAAGGATTATGGAAGCCATGTGCGATGTTTTTTCTTCATGATTGCGATTCTAAATTCTACTTTCTACCCGTGAGCGATTCACCTTGATTGCAATATTAACAAACAGTGCCCCCCCATCCCCCCACCAATAGCCACTTCTGCTTTATCTACACCAGTCCCAGACAGTTTTAGCACTGCGAGAGACCGCAGTCACACGGGACGACACACAGACTGCATTTCCACATCCGACAATCGGCGAGGAGTGGTAACGTCGAACGAGGTTTGACTCAAGGAACCAGCCTGAGCTTAAACGGCACCCTGAGTCCATCGAAGAATGTAAGCCCCCTTAAGGGAGAATCGTAATCTTGGGTCTAACCTGGAGACAATTGTCATCAGGGGGATCCCCTCCAGGCGAAAATAAAAACAACTACAGCTGGGCATTAGATCGTGCAAGGCTGTTTAAGATATTGGTGCTTGTGTAAGCGTCCAATACGCACAAATAAATGTTCATAATTTCAGAATGGGCCCGTCAAGTATCTTGTCTTTGTTTGTTTTTTGTGTTACCTCCATAATATAAGTTTTTTTTGGTAGGACCACGAAAATATAAATATTGTTAAACCCGCCACCACCCGACACAGCCAATTAGTAAGGTTTGTCACGTAAACAAAACATGCCAATTCGTTACGAGTACAGAACACCGGTGTGTTGGAGAGTAAACCCACAACATTTACAATTCGAATTCTGCTGTTGTCCTACTTCTGTACTACTTTTTGTTACGTGATCTAACCCAAAAACCTCTTATGGACAATATTGGTCGCGAAAGCCTACTACATGTTAAACGGTGTGTTACCTCTTGACTTAAAGCTTTCGTGACTAGGAATTAATATTCTCTGGGTCTTTCGGTAAAGTCACGTAGATAGGTTGAAAGAAAATAACAAAAAACTACGACGTTTCGATCGCAACACAAGCGGTCATCTTCAGGAAAAGGGGGTTAGCTTGCAAAGGCAAACTGTTTGTAAGGGTTTAAAATGGGCATAGCCCAAATGTCAGCAGCCAATGTTAATGCAAGTGGTGGTTAATGTGGTGGGCTCACACGAAATTGATTTCTCTAAGACAAAGGTACTTTGCAAGCCCACTGGCTATCAACAAAGATTCGTTCATGAAGCCATCCATACTGTATATATAGACACAGACACAATTTCAACCGAGAAGATGGGTACAAACCGAGCAATCATTGGAAGGACGTTATCAACCAGTTTAAGTCATAATTGGCTATGATGTTCCCATCCTACCACCTTCCGATGTTAGTTGTGCTTCACGCCCATTTCAAACTTGCACTTTCACAGTCACTTCGCGCGCCGACCCCTCGGTTTGCCTCCCTGCGAGTTATCATTAACATGCTAATCTCTCTTTAACATGCTCATTTTCACCAGGCAGACCTTTGATTGGTGGAAAACGAACCACTGGCGGGCTCGCTGCCGAACACTTACATTATCATTGGCTGCTGACATTTGGGCCACGCCTATTTCAAACCTTTATACATTTCGATTTCCTCCTACGCATTTCCCATGAATATGCTAAATTCCTCTTCATATGCACATTCTTTTTGTTAAGGCGCTCTTCTTGCACCTCCAACCCAGCGTATATATAAGCTCCTAGCTTGGTAGTGTCTCATTCTTCACCTGAAGACGGCTGCTTGCGTTGTAGCCGAAACGTCGTGAGAATTATTTTATTATGTTTTATTTTTTATTATTTTATTACTTCCCTTCTACGTGACTTTACCGAAAGAACCAAGAAAAAGAACTTTATGCACAGTTTGCCTCTGGAAGCTAAACCCCCCTTTTCCTGAAAACGACCGCTTGTGTTGCGATCGAAACGTCGTAGTTTTTTGTTATTTTCTTTGAACCCATCTACGTGACTTTACCGTTACCGTAAGACCCAAAGAATGTGTGTTACCTGTTGGACACACCTCACCTCTGTGGTGCATCTGTCAAATCAGTTAAAACTGTGGAAGTTCACTGTATTTATACATTTTTGGCACCCCTTGCAGCCTTGCGCATGTTATTCGGCCATCCTGATCGCCCACGCCCTAATGCCATTCGCACAGAACATGTGTTTGGCTCAAGGAGACGTTCAGCTGTTGTGCACGAACAAATCCGACCACATAGGTTGTTAAAAAAGTCAAGGAACTACACTTCGCCAGACCACAAAACAGCAAAACCCTTGCCCCACCTCCCCCCGCTTTAGTTTTACGCTGCCCTACAATGACCCCCAACACATTAAACAGGAAGCATTTTGAGTGTAAAATATATTTTGTAGTGTTAAAATATAACTTGTACGGTGAATGTATAGAATGATTTTGTTTTAAATGTAGTATACAAGACTGTACGCGTGGTATCCGTGTACAGTGCTGTACAAAACGGGAAGAAAAATTGATAGTGGCTGAACCTTGCTGCCTCCTCTTGACTGGAGGCTGGGATCACCGCGTGGCCTGGCACCCGCGATGGGCCACTTGGGAGACAAGATGGAGACAAGATGGCGCCGCGTGTGTTCTTCTGCGGCAGCGTCACCGCGAGCAGCGCAGTTACGACGAGCCACAGGGGCGCGATCATCGACGAACTCTGTACCTCAACAAGTCTGGCGCGCAGTTGCAAAACCGTGATAGCTAAACCTGCGAGACGGAAGGGTTTGCTGTACTTGATGTCCCCAATAGACCAACTGCAGTATAACGGGCAGTTGGCGTAATGAGTGAAATTTGCTTTCCTCGACTGGGATTCAAACCCATTTCATTTGCTTTACAATATCGGCGTGCTCACCACTGTACCGGGATGAAACTTGTAACAGGGAAGGTTTGTGGATGTGGAACGTTGGGTTCTGAGTGGTCTTTGAGGTGTAAGAGTTTGGAGCCCTGGTAGAGTCATGGTGACTGAAATGTTTTCTCTTGGAATGATGATGGGTTTGTAGCTAATTGTACTTCGGCATCATGAGCATTCGCCTCCCCAGATCGTTGCTGAAATTCTGGTCCTGAGCGAAAACACAAACATGATCCAACGTGAAAACTCACAGCACGTCACGAGGCCGTCACCCGGTACGGCGCGCTGGATTGCAATCCCAGCGTGCCCACTGTTACACGACGGCACCATCCACGACTACCGGGTAGCTGTGGGCATCATCGGTTTGTAGGTGGGTGGCTGTGGGTATCGGGCGTGTAGCTGTGGGTGTTGTCGTGGTGCGTTTACGAGTCTCGCCGTGACCGGCGGAGGTTGAGCGCCACAGTGGCTAGGAGATGCTAACTAGCTCGCCTGGTATACAGGAGGTCGTGGGTTCGATCCTGACCTCGACGCCTGCTGCTGTATATTTGGAGTTTGCGTATTTTTCCCTCCCCATGCTCACGTGGATTTTTCTCCGCGGTCCTCCGGTTTTCCCCTCCACATTTAGAATCAACATCGCGCATTTCGAGTTATTTGGCTGCTGCTATAGATTCCACGTGAGAAGCCGCTTCGTTGACCTATCATTTGTGATAGCCAGGTTGCTTCTGAAAAAGAGCTACATAATCTGGTTTAAAAATTTACCCATAAAAACAAAGTTTTTCACTATAAATCCTTTATATGCGTGGCGGCTAGAGTCCTCTCATCCTCTGGCTTAAGATGGCTGCCACCTATGGGTCAGATGATTGCCTGCCACCATTAAGCAATTGGTAATTAAATATCATTTTTTTTCCCTAAAAAGTGTAACATTTTGGGAAAAAAATTTCACGAAAATTAATTGTCACGCACAACGAGTCTGTGTGGAAAATGTCAGCTCGATTGGATCACGGGAAGTGGGTTAAAAACGACCGAAAGATTTGCACGGTCGTAAGCACGCAAGCAAGCAAGCAAGCAAGTGAACTTAATATAAAAGATTAAAAAATGAAAATTGTTTAGTGTTATTGTGGTGGAGATGGTGCGCGTGAGTCCTGTTGCTTGGTAAGGATGGAGAGCGGGAGGGGAGGGGGGATCATTGTGTCCACTCACCCAGCTGTGAGGTCTGTACTGGTCCAGTCGGCTGTAGAGCTGAGCTCCCTCCTCAGGGCAGACTACCATCATGTAATCGCGTGACATGGCAAACAGCTGATCCCCATTGATGCCAGTCAGGTGGGCCTGAGTCCTGTATACCCACAACAAATACGAAGATCCCCCGTATAGCCTTAACACACTGTTGGGGCAAGTGCTGTCCTTCCTCACACCTCCGATGAGCACAGTTGGCTGCGTACGGTGCGAAAGAAGTTCAACGTACATTCATACAAGGCTGGCATGGCACACAAGGGGTGGTTGGCTAGCACCACGCCCGGCCGCCTCTGTCTCCCCGGTGCTGATGGTTACACACTGCACCAGGGAATCAATTAATGCCGAGTCGACCTAGGGAAGACCCAGCATCAGTTCAGATATTCGTCCCTGGTGTTGGCCGTGAGCGGGAACTGAACTCGGGTCGCTGGGTTTGTAGCGCAGTGCGCTAACCACTGCATTATACTCTCGTTTCATCGTTTAAAACCCAGGACAGGGGGTGGGCAACGCCAAGCGCCCTCTGGCCCAGAGGTTACAAACGGGTTTTGTTTCCTTACCCGTACCCGGCCGCACCAGGGTCGCAAATGGGTACCCGTACCCATACCCGGCCAGGTACGGGTACCCGTTCCCTACCCGTACCCGTACCTACCCGAAATGAGTGACAAACGGTTACTGACCAGTGACTCACGGCCTACCCGTACCCATACCCGGCTGCACCAGGGTCGCAAATGGGTACCCGTACCCATACCCGGCCGGGTACGGGTAGCCGGGTATCGGGTAGGGTACGGGTATCGGGTACCCGATTGCGACCTCTGCTCTGGCCTTTTTTCCAGCTCTGACGTTTGACGCGGGAAGGTGGCGGCGGAAGTTTGTTCGCGACCCACCGATGGTGGTAGCCCTGCGTGCTGAGCCACAGCTGAACGTCGGCTGGCTGCGAGTGGATCGAGATCTCGGACATTGAATCCCGGGTCACGTGGTTCGTCTGGCTCACGGGCGGCTTGGCTGCCAGCAGGAGCCGGTTCTGCAGCTCCATCGTGAGGAGGTCCATCTGTGTGGTGCGGCCTGGAGTGAGGTGGGGGGGGGAGCAAAACGTGAGACACAGAACACACGCAGAGAGAGAGAGAAATGGGAGGGGTGGGTGCAGAGAGATGGTGAATCAGAGAGAAATACGTGCTTGATAATTGTTTTTTTACCCTTCTATCTGGCAACAAAACTGACACCTTTTTTACAAGGAGTCATGTTTGCATAGACCACAATACCTGCAAACAAAAAACATAACTCTGATAATGTATGCACTGTCCTTGAAGTTGATTGGTCCACACCCGAGACAGCTTTCCTTAGAGCCTAGTCTCGCATGGGTTGGACCAGATGACGCCAAAAGGCACAAAAAAAGGTGTCAGTTTTGTTGCCAGATAGAAGGGTAAAAAAACAATTATCATATTTTTTACTGGCAAATGAGGTTCCAATGGTATAGATACATGGTTGTGTAGAAGCTTTTTTTTTATAAACACTTTTTTTAATTTTACCAGGTAAAGCTCACTGAGCCGTTAGCTCTTTATCAGAAGCGACCTGGTCACACATGACAGCTCAACGAAGTGGCTTATCACGTGGAAATTTAAAGCAGCCAAATACTCGAAACGCGTGTTAATTCTAAATGTGGAGGTGGAAAAACTGGAGGTCCCGGAGACAAATCCACGCGACCACTGGGAGAGAGAGAGACACGCAAACTCAAATATACAGCAGCAGGCGTCAGGATCAGGATTTAACCCACGACCTCCATACCTGCCAGTAAAAACGATGGGTCACTGTGCGGTAGCTATTTGACTACATTCGTTATGTTGTCTGACTGTGCGCTGATCAGATCGTTGTGTTGTCTGACTGTGCGCTGATCAGATCGTTGTGTTGTCTGACTGTGCGCTGATCAGATCGTTGTGTTGTCTGACTGTGCGCTGATCAGATCGTTGTGTTGTCTGACTGCGCTGCTCAGATCGAGAGAGAGAGAGACTCTCTCTCGACAAAACACCACATGAAGGTCATGCCATCTTGCTCCCTCTCGATGTCCTCAAATAATTTTGCAAATCTTCACTTTGCCATTCGAAAGGAGACGTCTGAACAAGTAAAGCCACTGGTGATGTAGCAACTGGTCGTTTGTTATTATTTATTGGTCATGTTTCTGTTTTTTTTAACCGGAAATAAAATAATTCGCTGGTCGATTCTGAGCGACTGAGACACCAAGAGAGATAGCGTGCCATGTGTCTAGGATATATTTGTAATGGGTTCCGGAGACACTTGTAGAGGTAACTTCTTTATTACAATACAACACTCCAACAGTCCTGATACTCTGTTACAGCCTAGGTACACAGCCTAGGTACACAGTCTAGATACACAGCCTAGATACACTACTCTAGCTACGCTCTGGGGTCCTCCGGCTACAATTACCCTAGGGGAGGCTATCTGACCCGACCGAGCCAAGGTGCATGTCTGGACTCTGGCTTCCTCGGAACTCGCCCTTACAAGGACGTAGAGCCGGGAGTCCCAGAGTCCCACCACTGGCCCTCATAGCGTCCCGGCCCTTACAAGGACAAGCGGGACGAGGGGGTCCAGGGTCCTAAGCTGACTGGCTGGCGGGTCTTGGGTCTTGAGCTGCGACTGGCCTCGATCGGCCAGGGAGCTGCCCTTTTATGCCTCGTCCCCAACGAGGGGTGGGGTTGTGTGCGCCCCCAGATATCCCACAGAGCACAAACAGCCCCCACTCCGTTGGTGGCGCCAAGGGGCTTAAGCGTCTGGGTTGCCTGGGATCCTAGCGCCTGGCGCCAAGGCTTATCTGTCTAGGGTCCCAGAGCCCCCAGCAGCCCCTCCCCTCTTATGGCACTACATATTCACCGAACCTTCTCTCAGGCCGGTCATCGTCGATCTGAGGCAACGGCCAACAACAACGACGTTCTGCCTGGCCATTGCAGGTTGGCTGTGCTCCTCTTTCGGGCAGCCTCGCTGACCATGCCCCCACGCACCCTCCACAATTAAGCCAAAGCTCCGATTCGGAGTTCCACCACGGCTGCCGAGCACAGCCCCCCCCCCCCCCCCAAGATTAAAAATTGCCAGGGCACCTAGCAAACAAACGGCGTAAAACGGTGCCTGAATGTTAACCGATTTTATGTTTGAATACTTACGGTCGAATGGGTCTTTTCTTCGTTCAGGCGCGCTGTCTGTCGTCGGAAGGACGGGACGGGGAATTATTAGTTTCTGTTGCCGACCACGCAATGCGCAGCACGGCAATTTGTGACGCTTCTCTCAACGTCCGCAATTTGAGATCAACATTTTCACCCACGGTGGGCGAGGCGAGTGGTGAGACAGGGGCCTCCGCCTCGCCTCGAACACTGATGCCACCCTCTGCCACCAGTTCCTCATTTGCGAGAACAGTGGCAATGCCACGTGACTCATGCCCCATAGGGCCCAGGCGTCAACCCCCAACGAGGCTCCTAAATTAAAAACTAATTTCTTTAGCACTCTTGTTCGCTACGTACAAAACAAGTTCAACGTACATACACACATATACGATGGGTGAGCACGACTCACTCCACGGTGCATTTAATAAAACTCAGCACATTGGTCAACAACACTGTGGCCTTTAAAGGAAGGGTATGTAGTAGACGACGTTTTGGGCAATGGCCCTTATTCAGAGCAAATAGCATTTCTCTCGTAACACGAAATAACACATTCCTGCGGAGGGAGCTGGTAGGAACGTTGGGTTGCTCGGTCAATGGCCAGGGTCAACGGCGGCGTGGTGTATTCCGCAAATATGCCCGACTGTGAGGGCGGGCGAGTAGGTTAAACGTTGAGTTTTATAAGGGCACCACGGGGTGACCAGCCCCTCCCTACTCAGCCCCACCCCTCCCACCCCCCACCCAGCCCCACCCTCCCCACCCAGCCCCTCCCCACCATCCCCACCCAGCCCCTCCCCACCCTCCCCTCCCCACCCAGCCCCTCCCCTCCCCACCCAGCCCCTCCCCCCCCAACCAGCCCCTCCCTGCACGACGGACGGACACAATAATCCCCTGTGGGCTGGTGGAACCAGGAGGTTCCTACCAGTATTAGTGATGGATATAGCAGGAATGGTGGTGGTAGCAACGATGGTGGTGGTTGTGGTGATGGTGGGTCTTAGTGGTGATGGTGGTGATGGAGATATTAGAGACGTTGATGGTATTGATAGTGGTAGTGGTTGTTGTTGGTGGTAGTGCTGATAGCAGCGATAGAGGTCGCGGTAGTGGTCGTGGTGGTAGTGGTCATGGTAGTGATGGTAGAGGTAGTGGTGATGGTGGTGCTCACAGATTGCGTTGTCGTCAAAGAAGTGCCTATCCAGTCCGGCGGAATGGGGGCTTCTGCCTTTCCTCTGCAATGAGATCATCATTATCATAATCATCATCCAATACCAATACCTGCCATTCACCACAGCGCCTGTGCCAGGCCAGGTGCACTTTGAGGCCACGTGAAGTGTTGAAGGCTCGCTGACAGGAGGTCTCGGGACAGATCATCATCACCACTACCATCATCATCATTATCACAATCAGCACAATCATCATCATCATCAGCAACAACCACCATCATCATGATCAATCCTGCCACCACCCCCACTATCACCATAAACATCCCCACCATAAGCATTATCGTAATATTCATCATCACTATCATCATCAATATGATCAATGTCATCGTCATTATCAACACCATTGTCATTGTGATGGTCATTATCGTCACCACCATCATCATCATCGTCTTCATCATCATCACCACCACCACCCAGTTTCAAGACCATCATAATCATTGTCACTCCATCAAAAAAATGATCACCACCACTTGTGTGAATTCGACAGCACGTGGTCTGTGAATTCGTGACACGGGTAGTGCTGGATCGTGCGATCCATGGTCTGGCTCTGGTGACCGCAGTTATAAACCCGCTCCGTTCACAAGACGCCGCTGACCGCTCACCAGGGGCTCAACCATGTTGCTGGGAACAAAGCCAACGGATCCGTTCTCGTTCTGCACCTTCCACCAGTTGCTGCTGTCATCCAGGACCTGGGAGGAAGCAAAGAGGCCAGTCACTGGAGGCGTTTGTGCAAGTCCTTATTATGTATGTCAGTTGAACACGTAGGCTTTCGCGACCAATATCATCCATAGAATAGTTTTTTTGGGTTAGATCGCGTACATATATAAATGTGTCGTTAAACCCACCACCACCCGACACATCCAAGCGGTATCGTGTAGAACTTAATTACAGTTCTTGAATACTGCGCAGTTCGGATAGATCTCGGCTGACCAAGAAATATGTCTCTGGGTTTGTTCGGTAAAAAAAAAGTGGCAACCCTTCCATTCGTACAAAAATGTTTTGTTGCAGGGTCAGACAGATATGCGTCAGGAGGTGTAGTTTTTGCACCGAGTAATGTAATCGCCTTTTTTTAAAAACTTAACTTGATTGCACCACTGCCAACGCAGCGACGTCACCGAACGATTCGTTTTACCTCGAGAGTCTCCTCCCTGTTGATTGACAGCTCTGCGCTGCTCCGGGCCACAAAATCGTACTTTGCCTTCACGAACTTTATCAGCGGAGGCCGTGAGCTGATAAGACGCAACAGACGAGACACGCAAGATAGAATTGGACGTTACTGAATGAGTACGTGTTCGACGGCGTGAACTGAAACTCAAAACGTGTGGGCTTTCAAAAGTAAGGAGGCGATGATTGCTGTGTACAGGGACTCCTCTACTGACGAACATTCGACTTACGAACTTTCAGAGATACGAACAAACTTGTCTGTATGTCCAGTTGCCTGTTAGGACCGAGAGTTCGTAAGTTCAACCACCGCGCAGTAGATGGCGGCGGCGGTGGCATCTACATATGCAGAACGTGAAGAACCGGTGGCATCTACATCTACAGGAGATTATACAACTTTAAAAGCCATTCCCCGTGTTTAGTTTACACGCCGTACAACGTGTTTGGAATCGAAAGAAGTAAAGTTGGACTTACGAACAAATCGACTTACGAACAGACCTCTGGAGCCGAACTCGTCCATAGGTAGAGGAATCCCTGTACTGTAATTTTAAAAGGGTGTTTTTTTCTTCACATTTGGCACATTTGGCCCGCGGCGAGTGATGTCACGTGATCTTTAATGTCCACTGTGAAGCCGATAGCCCGTATTTTATGATCGATACGTTTGCATCATTATTTGGGGCTGCCAATGGATTCGGACTGAGAACCTCCGCAGCAAGCGGCGAAGGCCCTGCCGCTGGGCCGCTGTCACGGTCCTGTCGGGGCCGTTCTCCAACACGGGGTGATGCACTACTCTCTGCGATGGTTTCAGAACGGGACGCTCACGTCTCAGGAAATTACGCCGGTAGGACGGTCGGAATGAAATTGAGAAAAAACGCGATGAGTAACAAAAAAGTTGGACCATTGGAACCTCATTTGCCAGTAGAAAAATATGATAATTGGTTTTTTACCCTTTAATCTGGCAACAAAACTGACACCTTTTTTTTTTACAAGGAGTCATGTTGCATAGACCACAATACCTGCAGTCGTAATGCAAACAAAAAACATAACTCTAATAATGTATGCACTGTCCTTGAAGTTGATTGGTCCACACCCGAGACAGCTTTCCTTAAAGCCTAGTCTCACATGGTGTTGGACCAGATGACGCCAAAAGGCACGCCTTGTGGTCTATGCAACATGACTCCTTGTAAACAAAAAAAGGTGTCAGTTTTGTTACCAGATAAAAGGGTAAAAAACCAACGATCAATTATCAAAAAAGTTGGACTTCAAGGTTGGATTCTGAGGTGACAAGGCCTTGGTGGTGGGGGAGTTGGACGTACGGTTGTGGCGGAGATGCTGCCATGCCTGGGTTCAGCCTCTGAAAAAACACAAAGCAAACCCTTCATCAGCATCATTATCAGCTATAATTATTAATGACACATATAATCAGCAGCATCTTTATCGGTTTGGACTCAGTTTGCAATCATACAACAACCGCCATTCGCCACTAAGTGGCGGCGATGTCACCACGGCACTTGTACCAGGCTAAGTGCACTTTTTCTTTCAACATACGTATACATATAGCCTTGCACAGACTGTTGGGGCAAGTATTGTTAGTGAGCACCTATGAAGGCCAGCATGGCACACGAGGGAGTGATGTGGCCAGGACCACTCCTGGCCGCCTTTGTCTCCCCAGTGCTGGTGTCTACACACCGCACCAGGTACTTATTTAAAGCTGAGTCGACCCAATGGAGGCCCAGGACTGGTTCAGATATTCCAGTCATGAGCAGGAGTCAAACTCTGGTCGCCGGGTTCGTAGCGTGGCACGCTAACCGCTACACCACCGCTCCCCATACACGCACAAATACAAAGCAAAGATCCCCCACATAGCCTCAACAGACTGTTGGGGCAAGTGTTCTTAGCGAGCACCTATGAAAATACACACACATACACGCTTGCACACCCACACCAACACATTTGTATATGCACCGACATTTTCTCCCTGCAACAGCGGATGCGGGGAAAAAACCCGATCTGGTGCCACTTGACCCGCGCTGGGGCCAGCTCGGTACGGGCCCCGGCACGGCTCGAGTTTGCACAGTGGAAAAAACGACCTGGTGCCACCTGACCCGCGCTGGGGCCAACTCGGTATGGGCCCTGGCATTGCTCGAGTTTGCGTAGTGGAAAAAACGACCTGGTGCCACCTGACCCGCGCTGGGGCTAGTTCGGCACGGGCCCCAGCATGGCTCCAGTTTGGGCAGTGGAAAAAACGACCTGGTGCCACCTGACCCGCGCTGGGGCCAGCTCGGCACGGGCCCCAGCATGGCTCCAGTTTGGGCAGTGGAAAAAACGACCTGGTGCCACCTGACCCGCGCTGGGGCCAGCTTGGCACGGGCCCTGGCATTACTCGAGTTAGCGTAGTGGGAAAAACGACTCCCCCCCCCCCGGCCTCCGTCGTCGTCGTCTCTCTCCCGCACTCACCTCCCCGCGATCCAGCGACCCCGACTTGTGGGCGACGGCGTGCGACGCCACTGCCATCGACTCCGGCGGCTCCGTGGGCGCGGGTTGCGCCGGTGGCGGGTGTGCCGGCGGCGGGTGCCCTGGCGGCGGATACGCGGTGGGGGGGTGCGTCGTGGAGGACGATGGGGGCATGTGCGGCGCCGGCGCCGGCTGCGCTGGGAAGCCGAGCTGGTTCCCGATCGGTTCCTTGAGTCGGGGCGTGTAGGGGCTCGACTTCCAGCCCTTTGGCCACTCGGACCTGTGCGTGATAACGGGGCGTTACCACGCGGGGGTTAGCGCGCCTCGCCCCCCGAATAGCCAGGGCTCCCGTGGACATTCCGCATTCCTATGGCAACTGACGAGATCTCAGGATTGGATGCGTCAGTGTCATTGCCACGTGATGGGGTAGGTGAGAAGTGAGACGCCGGACGAACCCGGCCAACTGAGTTGCGATTCGCGGCCACGGCGAACATCAGTCGCGGGTGAAAGCAGAACCAATCCCGGTCCTCCCCACGGGGAACTCAGCCTTAAATGAGTAAAGATGTGTAACGTCATTGCCTTTGCCGTCAGTACTTGTTGTTCATTGCAATTCAAATAGGTCGTCCAAAATTACGTATATCCAAGGCCTGATTTCGGATTGTGTGTACAATGTGTATATGTATACATGTGTGCATGTGTGTGGGGGGAGCAGTAGTGGAATGGTTGGCAACCCGAGTTCGATTCCCACTCACGACCAGCACCAGTGACGATTATCTGAACCGGTCCTGGGCCTCCCCTAGGTCGACTCAGCCTTAAATGAGTACCTGGTGCGGTGTGTACAAATCGCCACTGGGTAGACAATGGCGGCCGGACGTAGTGTTGGCCACCCACCCCCTCATGTGCCGTGCCGGCCTTCATTGGTGCTCACAAACAGCACTTGCTCCAAAAGTCTGTGAAGGCTATACGGGGGATCTTTGTGTGTGTGTGTGCACTTAGACAAAGACAAAGGGCCTCACTCTGGCTTAGTCCAGGCCTCTCCCAGGGAGCTCCAAAGCATCTTCTCCTGCGATGTGAGGGTCGCCTTCATAAAATCCACCGTGTTCTTTGACAGAGGAGGTGACAAGATTGTCCGTCCCGTATCTGGCCCTCCAGACATCAATACCATCTGCAGCAGCATCATCGACCATAATCAACAGTCATCGTCACCATCTTTATAATAATCACCACCACCATCAGTTCTATTACCACCACCGCCACAACTATAATCATCACCAACATAATCATCATCAATATCACTGCCATCACAATAACACACTCACGCGCAATCACACCATGGGCTTTCAGCTTATTCCCGGCTCAGCTCAGGCTTGAGCGGCTCAGGTGGTTTTAAAGATGCTCAGCTGTGGCCTGGCTCAGGCTCAGTTCACGGAGATCCTGAAGCCTGGCTGGTACCGTGCTTTGAGCCGGCTCATGTTAAGCGTGGCTTTGAGCTGTGGCTCACTTGAGTCAGATCCAAGCCTGAGCCAAGTCGTGACGTAGAACTCTGGCCTCAGCCCTTGCGCACACTCATTCACACACGCCATCGATCTCACCATTTGCAGTGGCCTCATGAGGTGATGGAGCATGTCGTTGGCGGGAGGATTCTTCAGTTGAAGCTTCATATCCGACTGCAAGATCAAACCAACGAAACAAAAGCAACCAAGGCGTGAGATGCCAGGACACGCGTCTTAAATTTGTATTCTTATTTTACCAGGTAAGGCCCACTGAGTTATAAATATTTTTTTCAGGAACGACCTGGCCACAAATGATAGCCCAACGAAGTGGCTTATTACGTGGAAATGTATAGCAGACAAATACTCTAAACGCATATTGATTCTAAATGTGGAGAGAAAAACCTGAGGGCCCGGAGAAAAATCCACGCAACCACGGGGAGAACATACAATCTCCAAATATATCGGCGTCAGGATTTGGATCGAACCCTGAACCTCCTGTATACCAGGCAAAGTAGTTAACATCTCACCACCATGGCATCTTACCATGGGCAGTGTGCCACGCGTGGTAGCGCGCGCCGGTAATCTGCCAACAGTGTGGTTTGGGGTGACGGATGGTGAAGGCTTTCGCAAGTCACTTGGTCAGTTTAATTTGGGTAAGGCCTGTTGAGCTGAGGCGCTCTTCTCTCAACGGCGGCCATGTTTGTTTGTTGTAGCACAGAGTTAGACTGATGGCCTTAATCTAAGTTGTCTTGTGGTTGTTGTTGTTTGACTTGCAACCCACTGGGATTTTTGCACACAGCGTTGGTGTCCGGTGCTTTTTCTGCAATGTTTTGCTGTCTTTTCTTGGATTTTCTGTTTGCACTCAGTCACATAGCCACTTTAAGATGTTTTCTTGTTCATGTTTTAGTTTTCTGTTTGTTGCGGTTGCACCCGATTCAAGAGCCGAATGGCTCACAGGGCTATACCTAACAAATGAACTTGAACTTAAACTTGAAGTAGGTCGCACGGGGGGGGGGGTTACGGGGGACAGAGCCATGGTGGCCTCGTGAGGTTGGTATGGGCCCTCTCGTGAACGAAGCGGAGCCCCCTGCATTTCGCTCCTGTAAATTTCTACGTGATAAGCCACTTTTGTTGAGCTATCGTTTGTGATAGCAAGGTCACTTCTGGAAAATAAGTCAATACCTCAGTGGCCTTTATCTGGTAAGAAAAAAAATAGTTCAGTTTAATTTGTATGTTTTTTTAAAAGTGATTTGTTTATCTTTCCTATACTTTGCACTCCTATTGTATTTATGTATTGTTTGTTCGAAAATTCTGACCCGCCCCTACTAGAAATCTGTGAAAAAGAGCTTCATAGCTCATCGGATTCCTCCAGTTTAAATAAATATTCTGATTCCGATTCTGAAATATTCTCTCTCCTTGCGCCTCCGCGTGCCGATAGCGCCTCTCCTCCCAACGACGGCATGAGCAGGTCGCGTGACACACCACCCACCGATCGGAGCCACTTTGGCCGCGAAACTTGACATCGCTGCCCCTCCCGAGTTCACTGACAAAATGCCAACGTTGCGTTGAAAGCATGGCGAACCCCTCCTAGCGCTCGCCCCCCTCACCCCTCCAGCCCGTGGGTCCCTGGTGCAGTTGCACCACCCTTCGCACCTCCGATTAGCACGGTTGGCTACGTACGGTGCGAAAGAAGTTCAACGTACATACGTAAAACGCCCGGTCAGATGATGGTGACGGTGCGTCGTGTGGGTTCCTGTTGCAGGATCGCTAAGCAGTGCTGTGTGAGCCAACCGCAAGGAAGACGATTTAAAGCTTTCGTGACTGCAGGGATTCATATTCTTGGTTCTTTCGGTAAAGTCACGTAGAAGGGAAATAATAAAATAATAAAAATAAAACATAATAATAGAAGGGAAATAATAAAATAATAAAAAATAAAACACACACGTACACACGCACACATAATAAAATAATAAAAAGAAAACATCATACTATTTTATTATGTTTTATTTTTATTATTTTATTATTTCCCTTCTACGTGACTTTACTGAAAGAACCAAGAAGACGCAAGGAAGCCGTGGTGCTGCCCCGTCTCACCAGAAGGTTAAGAAGGAGCTTGTATTTCTGAAAGTGGTCTGTAAACTCTTCTATGGTGGGCGGCTTGGCTCGTAGCGTGAGCACGCCCTCTGTGCACACACACAAAGGCAGCAATAAAGAAAATCCAGATTTAGGCACGCCGGTGCTATTAGCGAGCATCACGCTTGGCATGCAAAGCAGCCTGCGTGCAATCACAACCTCCTCCCTTAATGTCCCTTGCCCAACGCTTCGACCAGTTCCAGACTGCGAGTTTCCATTCATGCCTGCCGAGGGAGTTTAGTTTAAGTTGAGGTGGCACAGCAGCCAGCTGGTTACAAGGGTTGGCGACTTCTTCCAACCTTTTGGGGCTCCGCAAACCCTCACAGGGTCAGCTACCCCTTACCCCACGATGCTGTTCAAGCTGTGGGACTCCATCTCTCCCTGCGCACAAGACAAAGACACACCGCGCCGGCGTAGGCATTTGCGGCTGAGTCGACCTAGGGGAGGCCCAGCACCGGTGGCCGTGAGCGGGAAACCAACTTGGGTCGCTGGGTTCGTAGCAAAACACGCTTACCGCTACGCCACCATTCCCCATGCACACACGCACACACGTACACACGCACACACGCACACACGCCCACACGTACACAAGCACACACGTACACACGCACACACGCACACACGCACACACGCGCGCGCGTGCACGCGTCCACTCACCGCCAGAACTCTTCTTCTTTCCTTTGGACTTTTTATTCTTCCTTTTCCCCATTTCGTTCAGCGCCTCCTGGATTTTTTGCAGCCTCCGGACAAATGCCTCGATCTCGTCGAGCAAGTTGTTCATCAACTTCTGCACTCACATCATCATCGTCGTCGTGGTCGTCAATTACATCATCATGATCATCGTTGCCTGTAGCAGTAGCGTCTTTGTCGTCAACAACAGCAGCAGCGGCGGCATCATTAGCGATAGCCCGTCGTCATGTCCTGCTTTAGAGGCGTTCGCCACGTGCCAATCAAGCTGAAAATGTTGCAATCCCATCAAAGCAGTTGAAATCCTGAGTACATTTTGGTTTTAGTGCCATTCTCATAGCGCAAGGTTATCACACAGGTGACGTTTTTCAGACGGCGGTCGTCTGCCGTAGTTACGAAGTAGGGGGGCGATGTTGCTATGTGGCCCTTGCCGAGTTGGTAATTTGCGATGTGATTTTTAGAATTTGGCAAATTTGGACCGCGGCGCCAGCAAACGTGGGCTGCGCTCTTTCGAATGACGTCACCGGATCGGTCAACGTCCAGTGTGAAGCAAGGCGATGCATGCCACAGTATTCACGGTGAATACACCCACCCGCGGTATTAACCAGGGTGGCCCACAGGGCTCGAAGCGTGAACCTCAAAGTTGAATTGTCATGGTAAACGCCACCATCGCCGTCGTCGTCAGAACCGCAGCCTCACTCACCAAATTTGAGTCCTTGTCGTGCGACGATGGGGGTGGTTGCATTCCTGCACAGCGCATACACACTCAATGTTACACATTGCCAACAGTCTGGAGTTTTCCTTTAGTTGTCACCTGTCCTAGTGTCGAAGAAGAAGAATTCAAATAAACTACAAAAAAAATATTGTTATTTTACCAGCTACATGGCTCGTTTTCAGAAGCGACCTGGCCACAAATGATAGCTCAACGAAGTGGCTTACCACGTGGAAATTTATAGCAGACAAATACTCGAAACGCGTATTGATTCTAAATGTGGAGGGAAAATCGGAGGCCCCGGTGAAAAATTCCATGCGACCACGGGGAAAGAGAGACATGCAAACTCCAAATATACGACGGGCATCAGGGGTCGGGGTCAAACCCATGAACCTCCTGCCTACCAGGCAAGGCCGTTAACATCTCGCCAGCGTGGCGTGGCCGGGGAAGGGGGCTTAAACCATGCTCATCTGCAATAAGCGGCAGTCAAGGTGCTCATCGCTCCAGGTTCGGAAATGCTACAAAAAGTCCACCCTGGTGAATTTCGTCATCCCGGATGAGGCCCTCGCTGTGAGCGGAGAGAGACGGGTACCTTGGTCCATGAAGGGCATGGGCGGGCGTGAGTGCGAGCCCCGGGATCGGCCCTGGGACAGCTGCGCGGAGCCAATGTCCGTGCCGTCCTCTCGAATACCCATCCGCTCCAACTTCTCCTTGTTCAGCCTGGAAACGCCGATCGGATCACATGACTGGGGTGCGGTTTTGGCATTCGTGCCATTGTTCCAGTGCTAGTTTGTCGCGGAGGAAGGCGATTTTGTTTTCACGGATGGGTACAGTCTGCGGTAGTTTCATAGCTCTACCCAATCAGGTGATTTTTTTTCCCTGGCAAATTTGGAGCGTGACACTGGCACTTATTGTCTACTCTCGCTCCAACGACGCCAAAGGGACCTTTTAAATGTCTGCTGCAAAGCCGACGGTGCGTATGCATGCACGAGTAAAAGTTCAACATACAAACGTACAATAAACCTGCAGTGTCGTGATGATTCATCAAATCGCTGAAGCGTGTATGTGTATGTATTGTCACCGGTCATCGAGTGCTCACCGTAACGTCTCAGGCCTGATCTTCTTGACTGTGCTGCGTGCATCTGCAACTCCGGATTCGATGTCCGACTGGATGATGTTGGCCTTTGGAGGGCGGACACGCGGACAGCGTTAAGAGCAACGGGAATCAACCATCACGCGCGAAAGCCACCGCAACAAAACACAATTGCAAAAACCATAGCAAGCACGATAACCACAACAACACCACCACGCTACCACCACCACCACAAATCAGCCAGCACACATCAACCGCCATGACTACCGCAACAACACTTCGAGCACCTAACAACAATCACAAAAATACTTTGCTACTACCACCACCACCACACAGCACACGTGATCAATAACATAACTACCACAACAACAACAACAACAGTCACAACCACCACCACCACCACTGCCGAACAACGACGGGCGGGTCAGCAAGTCACAACAACAACAAACCAATGCAAAAAACTAACTGCGACAGGATTTGCGTGAAAGGGGTTACCTCTGCCGTCTGGAAGAGGTAAATGTCGGGGAAGTCCTCCTGCGGGTCTTTCAAGACGAGCGCCAGCAGTCGGCCAATGCTGGCGTCCCCAGCCTCTACCTTGCACTGCTCGATCCACAGCATGTCGAATTTCTCCAGCTGCTCCTGGAAACACACAAACGACACCCCCCGCCCCCCACCGACTCGTTAGCAGAGGTCGCAACAGGGTACCCGATAGCCGTACCCTACCCGATGCCCGGCTACCCGTTTGTGACCCTGGTGCGGCCGGGTACGGGTACGGGTAGACCGTGAGTCACTGGTGAGTCACCGTTTGTCACTCATTTCCCAACGTCTTGTCTCTTCTCACAATTCAAGTTCCTAGAGTCAACCCACCAGCACCTGCAACATGGCCTGCAACATGGCTTCATCCCAGAGGTCGCAATCAGGTACCCAATACCCGTACCCTATCCGTACCCGACCGGGTACGGGTAGGGTACGGGTACGGCTGGGTACGGGTACCCGTTTGCGACCCTGGTGCGGCCGGGTACGGGTAAGGAATCAAAACCCGTTTGCGACCTCTGCACATTAGCCTCGTAAACTGCCGGGGGTGCATTCTGTGAGCGAGAGCCTGTTAAGGCCAGCGTTGTGGCACGATGAGGGTAGGGTGTCACGGTGGCTGGGAAATGTTAACTACCTCGCCTGGTATGCAGGAGGTCGTGGGTTTGATTCCCACCCTGACGCCTGCTGCTGTATGTTTGGAGTTTGCGTGTCTCTCTCCCCGTGGTCACGTGGATTTTTCTCTGGGTCCTCCGGTTTTCCCCTCCATATTTACAATCAACGTGCATTTAAAGTATTCGGCTGATATAAATTTCCACGTGATAAGCCGCTTTGTTGCGCTATCATTTGCGGCCAGGTCGCTTTTTGAAAAATAACGATATAGCTAAGTGGACCTTACATGGCAAAATATAAAAAAAATTGTTCAGTTTATTCTTGATTTGAAGCTTTCGTGACGGCAGGAATCCATACTGTTTGGTTCTTTCGGTAAATTCACGTAGGTAGAAAAATAATAGATCAGTTTATGTGTTGCCAGCCCACTAAAGGGAGAGAGCCTCGACTGGGTTGATTGAGGTTACCTTGGTGTGACAGTCCAGCAAGCTGATACTGTTGGGCTCCACCTGCAGATACATCTCCTGGACCCAGATCCTGCCCGTGGTGTTGAGAAAGACGAGGCGTTTCAGTGCATCCTTCACCGTGACGAGGCCTTCATCCGGGTCCAGGATGATTGTCACCAGGTGCTGACAACCACGACCGCGGGAGAAACCCAGCAAGCAAGTGAGTCTCAAGGTGAAACACTGCGTTTGTTAACACATTTGTATATATATTTTTTTAAATAAAAACGATGATTTTTTTTACCAGGTAACGCCCACTGAGCTATGTAGCTCTTTTTCAGAAGCGATTTGGCCACAAATTATAGCCCAATAAAGTGGCGTATCACGTGGAATCAAATACTCTCAACGCATGTTTCTAAATGTGGAGGGAAAAACCGGACGACCCGGAGAAAAATCCACGCGACCACGGGGAGAACATGCAAACTCCAAATATACAGCAGCAGCAGGCGTCAGGATCGGGATGGAACCCACGACCTCCTGTATACCAGGCGAGGTAGTTAACATCTCGCCAACTGGCGTGCCGCGAGACACCAGTGTGCCACACAGACGTCCCAGGTGTACTGCGGTATATTCTGAAATTATAGCAAAGAACCTCACGATACTCTTTGATTATTTCGATAAAGTCACGTAGGTAGAAAAAAATAATAGATGACAACGTTTCGATCGCAACGCAAGCGATCGTCATCAGGCGACTTTCTACCCACGTGACTTTACCGAAAGAACCAAAGAGTATGGATTCCTGCAGGTCACGAAAGCTTTCAAATCAAGAAACGAACCTCACTGTTCGCAAGCAAGGACAGATTAACTCTCCGCGCCGTTCAGTGGCTGATTTCAGCTCCCATCTGTATCCCGCCCTCCCCTATCCATCGATCTCGGAGCGGTACGGCAGAAGTCTGTCAACCCCCCCCTCCCCGGCCCTCTGAACCAGAAGTCGCAAACGGGTTTTGATTCCTTACCCTTACCCGGCCGCACCAGGGTCGCAAATGGGTACCCGTACCCGGCCGGGTACGGGTAGCCGGGTATCGGGTAGGGTACGGGTATCGGGTACCCGGTTGCGACCTCTGCTCTGAACTCCCTCTGTCGCGAATGCGCGTTCGGGCACGCAGCTGAGGGTTAGTGGATGACACAAATGTTGTGAAAATCCCTTCCCCTGGGCACTGAGGATCCATACCACGGACTTGCCAGCAGAAGGCGGTACAGCAAAAATGTGGACTGATGTCATGTGTCCCTTCCGTATGACTGTCTTGCCGCTTGTTTAATTCATTCTCTCTCTCTCTCTTCGAGAGTGAGCCAACACTGTGCAGCGCATTACAAGTTAAAATTATGATTCCGTGCAGTATGTATCGTGTGTTTTTGTGTGTGTGTCTGTGCTCGACAAACTGGCTCAATCGAGTTTTTCGGTCACGATTTTAAACCCGCTGAGAATGACGTTTCCCACCATCACGTGCTAGTTCTCAAATGTATATAGATATTTTTTATAATGGGCAGGGTGGGATTAATGTAAGGCCGTAATTATAATATTATAATATTCAAATGTGCTCAAAATGTCACCCCAATATATTGCTATAAAATAGATTTATGTTCATATGATTGCGGTTATGGTTGTTCTTTATTAATCCCTATTATCTCCTATTACATACAATGAAACAAGAAAAGGTAAAAAAAACAGAGCAATGTAATACAATACACTATTAGACATTGTAAAAAATAAATAAAAAGTCCATCCCATGTGTTAATGAATTTTTAAAATATTTTAGGCAGGAAATTAGTTTTCAAATTTAGATTTTTTCTCGGGGGGGGGGGGGGACCCTCAGACCCCCTTGAAGATTTGGTCCCCCCCAATGTTGACTCCATGGCTACGGCCTTGGATTAATGCCCCCCGCCACCACCCCGTTATGACGTTCCTTTCAAACAGCCGCACGTTACTCATTCACGAGCTTCAAAGCGAATTCGTCTCCTCGCGAAGGCGACGGTTGGGCAGCGATGGACGTATTTGTCGCCACAGGAGTAAAGGTGGCGGTGGTTTATTGTGCCCGTGAAGGGTGGCGAGGCGTTGTGCGCAGAGCGAGGAGGGGGGGTGGCAGCCCACCTCCACGTGGTACTGTGACGTCTCTCCTTGCAACGTGCCTCTTCCCAGTTTCTTCCTTTGTTCTGCAACACGAGAAATCACCGTCGTCGTCACCACCACCACCATCATCATCATAATCATCAAGGCATTCGTGATTCTCGTGATATGTTAGAAGCGAATTTTAGCGGCACTCCATTGCTGTTTCTCCACATTGATATTGATGATTGTTTTTTTTACGCAGGAAAGTCCGGGGATGGGCACTTGCAGCGTTCGGCTAGCGATAATCGATTTGTATCGAGATATTGACACCGGTATTGTTGAATGCACTGTTTTGATAACAGGCCAACGCTGAGCGAGCAATGGGTTCGGGTTTGGTCTACAGTGGTAAAAGGTGGCAACTCTAGAGGCGTTCTACTGCTGGATGAAGGTCTCCTTCATCCTTGGGGTACTGCTTTATTGAGTGCATTGTAGGCTTGAGCTGCTGTACTGACATCCGTCCCCCCTCCCCCCTCATTTCCAAGTCATGCACTGGGCGAGGTGGTGAGACAAAATGCGTTCCCTTCACCAAACTAAACTATTCAACATAAATTTTACTTTACCAGGTAAGGCCCACTGAACTGCATAGCTCGTTTTCAGAAGCGACCCTTGGCACAAATGATAGCTCAATGAAGTGGCTTACCACGGGGACATTTATAGCAGGCAAATACTCTAAACGCGCGTTGATTCTAAATGTGGAGGGGGAAACCGGAGGGCCCGAAGACAAATCCACGCAACCACGGGGAGAGAGAGAGACACGCAAACTCCAAATAATCATTCGTCGGGTTCGGGATCGAACCCGCGACCTCTTGCATACTAGGCGAGATGTTAACAACCCACACAGGCCAGCTTGGGGGCCGTCCATAAATGACGTCACGCACCTGGGGGGGGGGGGGGTCAGACACTTGTGACGATGTGCGACGAGGGGGGGGGGGGTGTTGAGAAATGTGACGCCACAGCAAAATGCGCAACTTTAAATAAATATAGACAACACGTTCTACTTCATTAAATAGACTTTTTAATACATGTTTTCTCCTACAACATCAGAGTGCAGCGTCACATTAAATACGCACTACAATGACAATAGTTTAAAGCGAATTGAAGCATGTTTTATTTATTTTGGGGGAGGGGCAGAGCTTCGTGACGTCATATTTGAGGGGGGTGGGTCTGACTTTTTGTGACGCCGTGTGACGGGGGGGGGGTAAAAAATCGTCCAAAATAGCGTGACGTCATTTATGGACGGCCCCTTGGTCCAATATGGTAGAATCACCACCCCCCCTCACAATTGACGTACCCAAAACAAACTTACACCCGGGGATGAATTCACGGTGGGTGAGCCGTGGGTGACGATCAAGGGGAATAGAGGAGGGAGAGGGGGGACACACACACACTCTCTGTAGTTGAGTTCTGTCCAGAGGTCGCAACCGGGTACCCGATACCCGTACCCTACCCGATACCCGGCTACCTTGAGTCACCGGTGAGTAACTGTCACTCATTTCGGGTAGGGTACGGGTACGGGTAGGGAACGGGTACCCGTACACGGCCGGGTACGGGTACCCATTTGCGACCCTGGTGCGGCGGGGTACGGGTAAGGAATCAAAACCCGTTTGCGACCTCTGGTTTTGTCGAAGAACTCGCTCACCGTAAATTGTCTTGGCGCTCTTCTCTGGATAGCCGGCACCTCCACCTCCCCCAGGCGCCCCGTAGCCCCTGCGACACGAGCAGATTTGACGCAAGATCAGAACATCGGCAGGTAAGCGAGTAAACTCGTGATTGGTTCATCTCCTTGGTTCTTTCGGTAAAGTCACGTAGAAGGGAAAAAATACAATAATAAAAATAAAACATAATAAAATAATTCTCACGACGTTTCGGCCACAACGCAAGCAGCCGTCCTCAGGTGAAGACCAGGTCTGTCGGGGAGACAGCGTTTGTCTTTCCGACAGACCTGTTCTTCACCAGACAGCATCTGTCTTTCCAACAGACCTGTTCTTCACCTGAGGACGGCTGCTTGCGTTGTGGCCGAAACGTCGTGAAATTATTTTATTATGTTTTGTTTTTATTATTTTATTATTTTCCTTCTACGTGACTTTACCGAAAGAACCAAGAAGAAGCTACTGCGTTTTAGGGGAACAAGCCGAAGGACCGATTTTACCTATCCACATTTTGTGTAGCGACTTTCTCCTGGCGATGCGGCGCATGGCATCCCCTTGACATACACGGGAAGGGCGTTTCGCAGCGTTCGTGCGATGATCTGCCGACCGTCGCCTACCCAGGGCTGAATGACAGGCCGCGTGCGTAGCCGCCACGGCCGCCGCGGCTACGGAAGCGAAGCTTCGCAAAGTCCGGACAAGAACGCGGCCGATGCGTTGCCAGCACCACGTGGCTTGCCCAGGGGTTGCCGTCGCTTGAACGCACGAGGTCAAGAAGCGGACTCAACCGGTGCGCAAATGTGGCGATACGCGCCGCCGCCGCGACAAATTGCCACGTCAGGTGGACGCTTGACAAGTCCAGTCTGTCTCCACTGCGAGCAACCGGTTGCAGTTGCACGCAACCGATCGCTCGGGCGTGGACCTGGCTTAACCGACATGGGCTCGGGGGCGTTTGTCCGTGGCCGCGCGCGCGCGCGTCAGATCTCGCTAAATTTAGAGGCGCTGCACTTTGCAACAGGGCGCTATTTGCGCGTCTTATCGAGGCAACCTTAGGACCACATTTACGGCCGCCTCCCGGGCTCGTTAAGCCGCACGGCGTTCGTGAAACCAACCGCGTCGTCGCGACCACCTCCATGGGGGGGGGGGGGGGGGGGGGGGGTCGGTGTAAGGTTCAGTTACTAAATCGGTGACACGGAGCGAGCGGCAGCGCGTCGCAGGGGGGCTCGCGGTTTCGAAACCGCACGGCCGCCCTGGATAATACCCGCGGCCGTGTGAAGAGCTGTCTGCTTCGCGGTGGACATTACATGTCTCCGGACGTCATCGAAACGTTACTCGAAAGCAGTAGGCCGTTGCGTGCTGCCATCATGAATCGAACTTTGTCAATTTGAATAAGTGAATTTTAAAAATTCCATTAAAAACCGGCAATCATTTATTATTTCCCTTCTAAGTGACTTTACCGAAAGAACCAAGAAGATGAATCCCTGCAGTCACTAAAGCTTTAAATCGAAACTCGGTAGCTGTTGCCTTCCTGAAGAACACTGGGTACAACATCAAGTGAAGCACAGTCCGCGATAGCACGTGAGGTGTGCACGCAGACCGAACAAAGGCTGAGGCGCGTGGGTAGCGTCTAGGAACATCCAACAGCATCCCGCCTTGTGTGATACTATGCCCAGGCAGCCGTACGAACACTCAGTCTTACTCGCGCGAAGTAGTTCTGTTCACACAATCGCGTTGTATCCAATTCACATCAGCGTCATTAAAAAATTAACCCGTAAAAACAAAGTTTTTCACTATAAATCCTTTATATGCGTGGCATCGGTTTTATTTGATTATTCATTTCCGTTTTTCTTGAGTAAGAGTTTCATTTTTATCACATTGGTATTTTAAATTAAATATGAATATTTTTTTTTCCTAAAAAGTGGAAAATTTTGGAAACATTTTTTCACGAAAATAAATTGTCACGCACAACGAGTCTGTGTGCAAAATGTCAGCTCGATTGGATCACGGGAAGTGGGTTAAAAAACGACCGAAAGATTTGCACGGTCGTAAGCGCGCAAGCAAGCAAGCAAGTGAACTTAATATAAAGGATTTAAAAATATATATGTTCCCGAATACATCAAGAGCCTTATATCCAGTTCGCGCTTTGAAAACCACACGCGTTATAGGAGAACAGACTGTATCTGCACGGGGATAGAGTGTTTCCCCCTCGCACGCGTGGATTTTCGACGCGTGATCCATTTCCTCCGACACGTATGAACACCCGTTATTTGGCTGAAAACATTTAAAGCACTCAGGTGTGGACCCACCTCTTGGAAATACAGTATTTCATAACAATTAAATGTTTAACACGTAGGCTTTCGCAACCAATATCATCCATAATACAGGTTATTTTGGTTTAGATCGCGTAAGTATATAAATGTGTCGTTAAACCCCCACCACCCGACACAGCCTATTAGTAAGGTTTGTGACGTAAACAGAACGTGGCCAATTCGTTACTAGTACAGCACACTGGTGTGTTGGAGAGCCAAGCCACACCATAAATGTGGTTTGGCTCTATATTTAAACTATTAACGGATAGTTTATATATATATTTTCTATCTACGTGACTTTATCGAAAGAACCAAAGAATATGAATTCCTGCAGTCACGAAAGTTTCAAGTCAAAATGTATAATTCACTAATTCAAAGTGAAATAAGCGAAGAGTTCCAACTCAATATGGGGCAGTGAATATCTCCCTTGACATTGCTGCGCCAGTAAAATTCGATATTCCTATGCCGAGTACCATTCTGTCCATAAGACGACCACATTTAACTTCCCACAAAGTGGTACTCGTTTATCGATCCCAAAAATTATTATGGTCCGACTCCCCCGAGTGGCATTTGAACCAATTTCCTTCTGCTTGTGAGTTGCGTGCCCTAACCCCCCAGTGGTACTGAGACACGTGACATTGGAAAAAGTTGTCGGTCCACTACTGGATGAATGCCTCTCCGTGTCACGCCAGTCATGGTGGTCACGTGGTCATACTTCACCACGTGGTCAGCGAGTGTTGGTGAAGGAGGGGAACTCCAGATCCAGATCACAACTGATGGAAGCCGTGGACGGGAATCAAACGTAGGTAAAGCTCATGGTTTCAGTCTGCTAAGGTGCCGTCCATAAATGACGTCACGCGATTTTTGACGATTTTTGACCCCCCTCCCCCCCTCGTCACACGGCGAAAATAAAACATGCTTCAAATCGCTTTAAACTATTGTCATTGTAGTGCGTATTTAATGTGGCGCTGCACTCTGATGTTGTAGGATGAAACATTTATTGAAAAGTCTATTTAATGAAGTAGAATTTGCATTGTTTTATATTTATATTATTTTATTATTTCCCTTCTACGTGACTTTACCGAAAGAACTAAGAATATGAAGTAGAACGTGTTGTCTATATTTATTTAAAGTTGCGCATTTTGATGTGACGTCACATTTCTCAAACCCCCTTCCCCTCCCTCGTCACACATCGTCACAAATGTCTGACCCCCCCCCCCCCTAGGTGCGTGACGTCATTTATGAACGGCCCCTAACTACTGAGGTGCCACTCCTCCCCCACACCCCGGACTCTTACCCAAGTCTGGCACGTCTACGTTTATCACCCAAGACTATTTATTAGCTGCTGTGATGAGGCACTTGTTGTATGGTGGAGATAGGCGGTCGAGAGGCAGAGATAATTAGTTTCCAATGATAAGTTGCGATTAAGACGGCAAGGGTGGAGGTGGGTTCTACATCATCCTGCTTTCACCTGGGCGAGACCGCTTGCGAGATAACGCAACGGAAATTTCAACCTTGTGACGTGCAACACGATACAGCAGTCGTGCTGTGATGGTTCCAGCTGAAGACGGAGGCTTGTGTTGCCTCCGAAACGTCGTGATTTTTTATGGAACTTTTATTAATTTAAATTGTATTTTTTAGTGTGCGACACGAATTTGCTCGCTCTCGTCACCACAGGCATGTGAAAGGTGAGAAGGCACACCATTCCCCCCAAGCTCTGCGGTCCTCTGTGCACGGAGATGTTTTCAGCCGAATAATGAGCGTTCACATGTGTCGGAGGAAACCAGAGCATCCGGACCACACACACACACGTGTGCGAGGGGGCAACACTCGATCCCACACTGGTGGGACAGGTGGAGGAGATTCGTCCTCTCTCCCCATGATTGCGTGGATTTTTCTCCAGGTCCACCGGTTTTCCCCTCCACATTTAGAATCAACACGCGTTCAGAGTATTTTGTTGCTACATATTTCCACGTGGTAAGCCACTTGCTCTGTCAAAAAATTTCACCTGGAAAATTCCCTTCGGGCAGAACGTCACCATTTGCAAAGGTGTCCTGCGTGGTGGTTGCACACGTGCATCGCAAGCGTGTGATGTCGTGCAAACATGCATTTACAATCGATCATCTACATCGTACGCTATCTGAATCAATTGGAAATGCCCCAAAAACACTTAAGAAAATTTGTAAAATTTGCCATTTTTGACTTAAATTCTGGAATTTTATTGTTTTTAAATTATTCTTTAACAAGCTCGGCTTTAAAAACAATAGTGGTGTGTGTCATATTTTTGTTTCTATTCAAGTGAAAAAAATTAAAGTAGATTTTTAGGTGGGATCCTGCCCCACCCGATTTCCGTGACCTTTCCGTGAATAAATTGTTATTTCGTGCCACTCGGTTATGAATTTAAGCACAAGCATTCACCCGAACGAAACGCAGCCCTGGAAAATGGGACACGAGCGTGCTGCGTTCTTAGGGGCCGTCCATAAATGACGTCACGTGATTTTGGACGATTTTTGACCCCCCCCCCCCCTCGTTACGCGGCGTCACAAAAAGTCAGACCCCCCCCTCAAGTATGACGTCACAAAGCTCTGCTCCCCCCCCCCCCGCCATAACCATATTTCCATTTTGAAAATAAAACGTGCTTCAAATCGCTTTAAACTATTGTCATTGTAGTGCGTATTTAATGTGGCGCTGCACTCTATTTAAAGTTGCGCATTTTGATGTGACGTCACATTTCTCCCTCCTCCCCCCCTCGTCACACATCGTCACAAATGTCTGACCCCCCCCCTCCCCCCAGGTGCGTGACGTCATTTATGGACGGCCCCTTAATGGCGCCGTGAATGGGCCCACAGGTCCCGCGGTTCGAGCCCCCATGGCCGCCCTTGTTAATTCTGCCTTCGTCTCCAGCTCCAGTCCATCATGCTCGGCAATGATGATGGGTCTGGGTGAAGTCCCTCCATTGCTGCCTGTCATCCACCATGTCTTTCACGGCTTTGCCCATCACCAATCCCCTCTGCTTGACGTCTCTCTTCGCATCATGAATCCAACGCGTTGTCTCTCTCTCCGTCTCTGCTTCTTCTTATTCTCGATCTTTGTAAGTGTAGTACGGAGTAATACTGATGGCCTTAATCTAAGTTGTCTTGTGGTTGTTGTTGTTGCTTGACTTGCATCCCACTGGGATTTTTGCACGCAAGCGTTGGTGTACGGTGTTTTTTTCTGCAATATTTTGCTGTCTTTTCTTGGATTTTCTGTTTGCACTTAGTCACATATTCACTTTAAGATGTTTTCTTGTTCATGTTTTGTTGTTGTTGCGGTTGCACCCGATTCAAGAGCAGAATGGCTCACCGGGCTATACCTAATAAATGAACTTGTATCCTAGAGTGGTGTGCATCACCATATTCTGGTGTGCGTGGCCACATTTGGTGGTCTTGTCAGGGTTCCTACCGTGAGTTTATTTGCCGCAAATGCCACGCGCCGCCTGCGTCACAGTTGAACGTTAAAGATCCCCATGACGTCACTCGGAAACGAGTAGGCCACGTGTTATCAGCGTCAGGGTCAAACTTTGCCACGTTTTTTTATCTACCGGCAAATGACCTCATTGAATAGAGCCACAGTGCTATGGCTACATCCAACTGTGAAAACTTAGCAGGACCCTCCTGCACGCATGCACGCACGTTGAACATCTTTCGCACCGTACGTAGCCAACCGTGCTAATCGAAGGTGCCTCGGGCAAGGACAATCAACTGAACACAACAAAAAGCTTTTCGATTTAAAGCTTTCGTGACTGCAGGGATTCATCTTCTTGGTTCTTTCGGTAAAGTCACGTAGAAGGGAAATAAAATAATAATAAAAATAAAACATTATAAAATACAATTCTCACGGCGTTTCGGCCACAACGCAAGCAGCCGTCCTCAGGTGAAGAACAGGTCTGACTTTACCGAAAGAACTAAGAAGACAACAAGAAGCAGTTGTACAGAAATGAGGAGGATACTAGAGCCACTTGAAGGATGTTTTGGAGGAGAACTTATGTGAACCAAATGCTTCCGCGGGTCGTTCTCTGGCACAATGGACGCATTTCTCTGTGACATTTCCAAACGGATTATAATTTCTATTGCAACACTAGCAATCGTCATCAGGTGGAACAACCACAGCAAGAAAAAACTGCCTACTTCAGCAGTTTTGACGATTGCTTGTGTTGCGATCGAAACGTCGTGATCTATTATTTTTCTACCCACGTGACTTTACCGAAAGAACCAAAGAGTATGGATTCCTGCAGTCACGAAAGCTTCAAATCAAGATTGGATTATAATTAGTCTCATGACACCATGACCTTGATAGCACAACTGGAATGATTTTTTTTGTGGAAAATATGCAGGAAGCGCCGGGTGGCTTGTGGGAATATCATTTGATGGTCCGAATAAAAACAACGAATTCAAATCATCGGTACGTTTTGGTTATTCGGGATATTCTTGGAGCGTCAGGGCTATCGCGAAGCAATGGTGCTGCTGTGGTTTCACGTGCAAGTATCGTCTGTCAAGGCCGTAGCCACGGAGTCAACATTGGGGGGGGGGGGGGCAAATCTCCCAGGCGGTGTTGGGTCCCCCCTCCAGTAAAAAAAAAAAATATCTAAATTTGAAAACGAATTTCCTGCCTAAAATATAAAAAAATCACTAACACATAGGATGGACTTTTTTTTTTTACAATAATGTCTAATAGTGTATTGTATTACATTGCTCTGTTTTTTCTTTTTTACCTTTACTTGTTTCATTGTATGTAATGGCAAAGATTAGGGATTAATAAGTACAACCATAACCACAATCATATAATTCTAGATTTGAAGCTTTCGTGATTGCAAGGATTCATACTCTGTTTTTTTCGGTAAAGTCACGTAGGTAAAAAAGTGAAATAAAATAAATGAAAACAACTAAATTAAACCACGACGATTCGGGCGCAACACAAGCGTCCTTGACAATCATATAAACAGAATTGTATTTTATAGCAATATATTGTGGGGTATGCTGGATTCCTCTTGATATGCAAATTATTTTGTCAAGGCGCTCCCTTTCCCCCCCCCCCTTCCAACCCAGCTTATATACATGCTCCAAGCACGTGTGCTGTTTCATTCAGACGCTGTCGCCTCGACAGACCTGGTTTCACCTGAGGACGGCTGCTTGCGTTGTGGCCGAAACGTCGTGAGAATTATTTTATTATGTTTATTTTTATTATTTGATTACTTCCCTTCTACGTGACTTTACCGAAAGAACCAAGAAGAAAAAAGTTGTGGGGGACATTTTGAACATATTTGAATATTGGTGGGGAGGGGATGTCTGCCCCCCCCCCCCCAATATACTGTATATTATAATTACGGCCTTGTCGTCTGCAGTAGTTCCGCAGTAGGGGGGCAATTTTGCTGCGTGGTTTTAGCCAATGAGGCCAGTGGAGCGGTTGCGGTTGTAGTTGTGGGCCAGACCGCTAAGGAGAATTAACTTTGGGTGGGCCAAACCGATGTCCGGCATCGGAGGGCCCAGACACAGCACCCACCCCTCAGCACGAGGCCTGTTTGAGACCCAGTGAGGCTGCCTTTCCTGGGTAGAAATAAAAGTTAATAATGCACCACGCGCACCGCTGGCCCTCGCCATTACGGCATTTACGACTGGTGCCTCGTGCTCAAGAACTTTAGTCCGTCGCGTGGAAGGCGTACGAGCGAGTTGGGAGATAACGTATCTCCAAGTGGCAGAGGGATAACCGCGTGTATATATATCTCTCTCTGCTTCCATGTTTTACGGTAGGGCACTGCCTCAATCGGGATGCACGGGGCAAGATTTGCATCTTGACAATTAAAATTTAAAAAACCCCCACGTCTTGCTCGGCGATTCATCTGGCTAGCTCTCCGCTGCGTCTGCGGGTTGCATGGAACGTTGGGTTGGAACGTTGGGTTGGTCCAACGTTAGCTCAACGTCGACTCAGTGGTTCCAACCACGTGGCCAACGTTGGCCCCACGTGGCATGTCTGGCACGATGTCCGACGTTTCGCAGCACGTGTCGGGAGCTTCTCCGGGAAACAGGGGACAACCCAGCAGCACATCGCACAGAGTTGTACAGTGCTACTGCGACAAACCCTATTCTCACCCCACCTCGTTGTCAGTCTTGGAGAGATGTTGTTTGTTTTGGGTACGAGTTTTACACTTTGCGGGTACATGTAACAATTCACCCACCCCTCCCCCTTTGGGCACCCCCCCCCCCCAACCCCGCACCCGGCTAATGGGTACAGGGCGGGGGGAGGGCTCAGAAAATATTCCATGAGAAATTAAGCCCTGGGTTACAGGGTTGCAATTAAATTGATGAACGAATCAATCGTTTGGGCTTATTGCCTTTGTGGTGATCGCACGACCGGTGAGAACGGCGTCGGATGATAATTTGTGTGGATGTAGCTGATACTCGGTGTGGATCAGTGGTGCAGCGGTTAGCACACCACTGCACCCGGCGATCTGAGTTAGATTCCCAACCAGAGCTAACATGGGTGCCGAGTGATATCTATAACCGGCATGGTGAAGTATGGTCAAACAGCCTCCGTGGACCGACGCAGTTTTGGGAGCACTTCATCCAGCAGTGGAATTCCGATCGCAACATCATCTCAGAGGTCTTGTTATAATTAGGCGTGTGACGGTACGTCGATACATCTATTGTTATGTTTATGATACGCCCAACGCAGAGCTGTCCAGCGGAGGGGCCAAATTGGAGATTTTTTTTCCCTGGGCCTCACAACAAAGGAGGACCCCACAATGGGCTTGTGGATTGTGGGATGAGAGGGCCCAACGTGACATTCCGCCCCAGGCCACCAGGAACCTCTGAGTGGCCAAACTTCCACCATGATCGCCGCGGCATATGGGAGGCCTTCATCCAGCAGTGGATTGACAAGGCTGAATGAAACATGGCCCTTTAAAATGTTAAAGACACGGAGGTAAGGTAGTGTGTGACAAATGTGCAATGTTTCTCTGGGGAAGATTAACAAGCGACATGCACCAAATAATTTTCGAATTTAATATTTAAAATGCAAATACGTTACCCATGGCCGCCAGGGTATGAAGTCATTGTTGGTCCTGAAAAGAAAAACAAAAGCAGATATTGTAAATAAATGACACATGGACCAGCGGCGAATATGCACAGCATACTCAGGATTTCACATTTTTTAAATATCGGATTATGGGTTTTCAGCATTTCGTTTTAAAGCACAATTGAGGATGTCAGATGTTGGGGTTTTGGGATTACATCACAGAGTAATATACATGTCGTGCTTACAGAAGTCACGTCCACGTGACACCACCTTTCGGATCAATCCACAACAACATTGTTTTTGGACCGTCCGAATTTTCAAATCTAGACCAGATTTTTGTATCTAGAGGCCGTCGTTCATAAATGACGTCACGCACATAGGTGGGGGGGGGGGTCAGACATTTGTGACGATGTGTGACGAGGGCAGGGGGGGTTTGAGAAATGTGACGTCACGTAAAAATGCGCAAATTAAAATAAATATAGACAACACGTTCTACTTAATTGAATAGACGTTTTAATAAATGTTTTCTTCTACCACATCAGAGTGCATCGCCATATTAAATACGCACTACAATGACAATAGTTTAAAGAGAGTTGAAGCATGTTTAATTTTCAAAATGGAAATATGTTTTTTGGGGGGGGGGGGCAGAGCTTTGCGATGTCATATTTGAGGGGGGGTCTGACTTTTTGTGACGCCGTGTAATGAGGGGGGGGGGGGGTCAAAAATCGTCCAAAATCGCGTGACGTCATTTATGGACGGCCCCTATATATATATTTTTTATCAATCCAAAAAATGTATGCAAACACATCCCGAACATATACCATTTTCAGTATTCACATAATTCAAAAACCTTGACTCACGGAAGCTTCTCTGGACGTCTGTGAAAAAGGGCTTCATAGCTCCTCAAATTTCTCCGGGGAAAGATTAAGAGTCTGACGGCTGCTTGCGTTGTGGCCGAAAGGTCGTGCGAATTGTATTTTATTATGTTTTATTTTTTATTATTTTATTATTTCCCTTCTACGTGACTTTACCGAAAGAACCAAGAAGATGATTCTGACTCTGTTACGCAATTCAATGCAGCCACGGGTGGCTATGCACGCCTGTAATCCAGCACTTTGGAGGCGCGTATTGGGTGGTGCATTGCACACGTTTGTGAAACTCCCTCCCTACCCGTGGGTGATGGTGGAACTCACCATCTCCCGGCTTGCCACAGTATTGCAGTACAGTGGGCGGCTAGGAGATGTTAACTACCTCGCCTGGTATACAAGGACGTCGTGGGTTCGATCTCGAGCCTGACGCCTGCATATTTGGAGTTTGCGTGTCCTCTCCGTGGTCGCGTGGATTTTTAAATCCTTTATATTAAGTTCACTTTCTTGCTTGCTTGCGTGCTTGCGTGCTTGCGTGCTTGCTTGCTTACGACCGTGCAAATCTTTCGGTCGTTTTTTTAACCCACTTCCCGTGATCCAATCGAGCTGACATTTTCCACACAGACTCGTTGTGCGTGACAATTCATTTTCGTGAAATTTTTTTCCCAAAATTTTACACTGTTTAGGAAAAATAAAATAAATATTTAATTACCAATTGCTTAATGCTGGCAGACAATCATCTGACCCATAGGTGGCAGCCATCTCAAGCCAGAGGACGAGAGGACTCTAGCCGCCACGCATATAAAGGATTTATAGTGAAAAACTTTGTTTTTACGGGTTATACTTATTATAATCAACATTACACTTTTAGAGTATTTGGCTGCTATACATTTCCACGTGTTAAGCTACTTTGTTGAGCCATTTGTGGCCAGGTCGCTTCTGAAAAGAGCCATATAGCTCCGTGGGCCTTACCTGGTAAAATAAAAAAAAAGTTTAGTATTAATTTCCACCTGTATTCCATCAGTGGGGGGAGTACTCCATATTGAGTGGCGACACCCGCTTATGATTATTAATGAGGAGGGGGGGGGGGTGTCCATTTGGAGGACGTCACCTGCTCATGATTATTAATGAAGGGGGCTGGTCGATGTGGAGTGACGTAACGAGCGTGAAGGACAGACAGTCCTGGGTGATTATAGTCGGTATAGGACCACAGCGTTTAGCCAATTGGTGGTGCCGGTTCCGATTGCTTTACCCCTTGTCTGTAGTTACCCGTGCTGGCTCTGCGCGCGTTAACACATTCTGTCGCGTTATTAGATGCAACTTGCTGGAATGTTGAACGTTTACAATTTTGATTTAAAGCTTTCGTGACTGCAGGGATTCATATTCTTGGTTGTTTCGGTAAAGTCACGTAGAAGGGAAATAATAAAATAATATTAATATAAAATAATAATAAAAAATTCTCACGACGTTTCGACTGCAACACAAGCTGTGGATTTCACACCTGATGATGATTGCTTGTGTTGCAGTCGAAACGTCGTGATAATTTTTATTTTTTATTGTTTTATATTTATATTATTTTATTATTTCCCTTCTACATGACTTTACCGAAAGAACCAAGAATACGTTTACAATTTGTCCAAATAAACAAAAAAAATCCACAATGCATACTTATTAACAATGTTGAATAGTACACAGTGGGCAAAGTTTCTGTCTGCGATCCCAATTGAATAATTTGAAGGTATTATTCAGCATTGGCATGTTTGGCTCACACCAGCTACAGACACATTGCATGGTATTCTTATTCTTGGTTCTTTCTGCAACACAAGCAATCATCAGTCGAAAAGTCGTGATAATTTTTATTGTTTTATATTTATATTATTTTATTACTTCCCTTCTACGTGACTTTACCGATAGAACCAAGAATATGAATCCCTGCAGTCACGAAAGCTTTAAATCAACATTGCATGGTGTTTCTTTTTTAGTCGTGGAATAAAACCAGGCAACCCAGAGGAAACCCGTGCGGAACAGGGAAGGTTGGGAACGTACAAACTCCACACAGAGAGGTGCCAATGCCAGATATCGAATCCAGGGCCCTTCATGCTGCGGGGTGCGGGGCCCACCCCCCTTGACCTAACAAAATAACGCGCAGAGGCACAGCCAGGAGCGTAGCTACCAGGGGTGTCGTGGGGGTCCCGACACCCTCCGCCCTCCACTAATTTTTTCTCGAACACACCCCTATATTCTAGATTTGAAGCTCTCGTGACTGCAAGGATTCATATTCTTAGGTTTTTTCGGAAAAAAAACCTAAGAATACACACCACTATACCCCATCCCTATTCACCGTATCACCTTTAGCTACCCTAATTGTACCTCTCGTAACCCTTGTAAAAGCGCCTTGTATAATAGCGCGATATGAATATGAGATAAGACATACTGTTTTCAGTATTCACATAATTTGAAACTATTTATACTGCTAGGAACCTCCTGGTCCCACCAGCCCACATGGGATTATTGTGCGCGGGTGGCTAGGCATGGGCCTTACCTGGTTTAATAAAAACAGAAGTTTCATTTTAGTTTAATTTCGACATGGCTAAGAGACTCCCGTGACATTGTGGACACCATCTCTGGCACTTTTACATCCTCGTTGTTCTCCCTTCAGCACCAAAACTCTGAGTGTGCTGACGACGGAACCATTTCCAGTCACGGCAGCGCACGAGCAGGAGCGGGGGACTCACCGCTGATCATTTAGCCAGAAGTTGCGTAGATGTCGCGTAAGTATGGCGCAGTACAACTCTTCTTATCCGTGAAGAAGTGTGGAGTGGACAATCAGTAATATGACCAATAACCACCGTGAGCATTTCCCTGGTTTACTGGTCCGATGTGGATGCTCCCCTGCATAGAGATATGTTGGCTAGAGCGGCCACGTTCACACCGGCAAATACTTTGACTCCAAAATCTAAGCCAGTGACACCGTTAACCACGTGCTAGTAAGACACGCAGCTCCAACTCCCGCGGTTACCTCTGCTGCCCTGGGCACAATTCGCCACCGCCCACTACAGCTCACCACCGCTCACCACTGCTCACCACTGCTCGCCACGGCTCGCCAAAACAAGGCACCGTTGGGTCATGAACATTACCAAATGCTCACGCTCCGTTTGAGTGCCTGCCCTGCCTTGGCAGTGAAACGAGAGGCGTTGGCCCGGCACCGTATTGCCTGCCAAAGTCACATTCCAGTGACGAGTTAAAACATTCCACTCTCAAAGTTCATGTCGGCGGCTGCCACAACTCGACTTTAGTAATGTTCGTTGCGTGGTTAAACTTCTACCGTTGGCAGCCTTGTAGCCACGGGGGACTGGAGGAGTCTGAGCCCCCCCCCCCCACCACCCTTCCCCATACTGAAGTTCAACATCCATCCATCCATCAAGAGTACTACGTAGATCCAGTATGGAGCTGCTCATTCAACCTCAAGTTAAACGCAAGACAGTGGGTGGGCAATTTCGCCTTCCCATATGCAGCTCCCACCATGCGGAACGCACATCCCAGCTCCATATTCGCCAAATTGAGTCCCTTCCACGATTTAAGTACCATTAAAATAACCGTTTGTGTTGACTATGGCCTTCAATTGAGTTGACCTTGATTTGGGTGTGGGTCAGGAGAGATGAGGGCAGCGAGGAAGTGGCTACGTAAGGGCCTCGAAGCTGCCGTACGGAGCGGCGTCCATTTTCACAGCGGGCGGTGGGGAGAGGAGAGGCATTCAGATTGGGCGTGGTCACACAGAGGTCACGTGACGTACAGGAGGCTTGAGCTGATATAGATGTGACATATTCTTAGGTTTTTTCGGTAAAGTCACGTAGGTAAAAAATATAAAATTAATAAAAGTAAAATCAAAATAAAATACAAATCACGACGTTTCGGAGGCAACACAAGCTTCCGTCTTCAGGTTGTGTTGCCTCCTAAACGTCGTGATTTTTATTTTATTTTTATTTTACTTTTATTAATTTTAATTTTAATTTTTTACCTACGTGACTTTACCGAAAAACCTAAGAATATGAATACTTGCAGTCACGAAAGCTTCAAATCTAGAATAGATGTGACAGACACCTCTATAGAAAGGGGGCATGTGGTGCGAGAGTTCACGAGCACCTAATGCGGATACGGACAGAAGGAAAATATACGAGAG